ATCACCATCATCATCAACATATCATCATCATTATTATTTACAGCAGCGAGAGAAACAGGATACTTATACAATATTCTCATTTTAGGACTTGGCAACTTATTATTGCTTCTTGTTTGTTCTTATTCGCTGTTATGGTACGTATTATATCGTTCGTATACACTTATTTCAATAAAGTTAGTCACCAAAAACCTAGAAAGCTGAGATCACTGAGCATCATGGGAAACTTTTCATATCAAAAAAGCATGTACATACAAAGCTTTTTTAATACAAACTGCAGCTCGTTGATGCTCAGAAGAGATGAGACTGTAACCAGTAAAGAATTCGCAAGTCCATTAACAGTTATCAAGCGGTTGAACGTGTAAAATGAATCTACCCATATTCCTTGTCGGCCTCAAGCTTTATAGCTTTTCAGGTGACTAACTTTATTGAAATAAGTGTACAACTATTTCAAAAAATGTTGAATACGGAATATTGCATAGAGTAGTTTTCAAAAAACCCCGAAACAAGAGACCTTTCCCGAATTTCCTTGACTGATCACGAAACAAAGCTGGTTTCAAGTCAAGGTTGGACTCGATGAATAAAAAAATCAAGTTCAGTCTCGACTTCCAAGCGAATTCCGGAAAGGTCAATTACCAGCGTATTTAGCAGTAATACCCTTTTTTCACACTTTAAATAAACATGCGAACGCTGCACGCTGATATTTCGTCTCTTACTGCCTCCAGTTAAAAATATGAAAGGTACCGACTGATTAGGTTTAATTGACGATAGCGAAAAGTTCGCATGTTTATGAAAATATACGCAGTAATACACATTATTAGATAGTAACTAAGAGTAATTGTTTCACGGGTTTTTGAAAACCACTCTAATAAAGAGTGCATTCCAAAAACAAAGTCATTGTGGTCATTGAAATAGAAAGTAAACATTCAGCAATTTGCACTCTATATATAACTGGAGTATTTTGCTTCGGATGGAATGCGCTGAAAACAAAATAATTTATTATTTATATTATTTTAGATAGAATTACATACGACTCAAAATGCGCTTTGTCCTTGGAATCACTATTTAGTATGCAGTTATTAGTATTCAACGTTATTTTCAACTTTTTCCCAATTTTTCATTTGACTTTTTTTTTTTCTTATTTTCAGTGGCTAGTCTTTCCAGGTACTTGGCTATCCATCGTTGGGTCTCATGCAGATCCTGTTATTGGCAACATGTGTTGTCGTATTATAGCTGGGGCTTTATTTGGTAAGTGACGAGTATCATCTCGTGTTCCACGTGTTTTCGTTACGCCCTCTTCGTTTTGCTCGGCGGTATCTTCGTGTCGCTGTCTTACTCGAGATCTTACTCGAGAGTATTTCTCGAGTYTTCCTCGACTATTTTACGAGTATTCCTTGATTTCATTGTAATTCTGGCGAATTCTAGTGCAATTCCTCGTGTTTTTATCAGATTTCAATCGCGCTTCGTCGGGTTTCCTCGCCAAACTCTTGCTTTTCTTCCCCGAGAAATTCACGAATTATCACGTGTGTTTCTCATGTATTTCTCCAATTTAAATCATTCCTATCGTGTGTTTACTTGTTTCTCATACGCCGCTGTTTCCACGAGTCTTACTTACGCCTCGGATGCTAAAAACGCGTCCTCGTGTATTCTTGTGAAATCTTTAAACCAAAGTCTATRTTTGTATTTCAGCTATTATATCTACAACGTGGTACACAGAACCTACTTCCATGCTCGCTCTTAGGAATACTTTAATGCTGCAGTATATCTACAGTGGAATCGCTACATTTTGTAAGTTTTGCCAGAGCCTACATTCTTATCTTATTTTATTATTTATATTAATTATATAATTTAGCTTGTATACTTTGTAGTTAGTTTTTATAATTAGAAGGCCAATTGAAAATTATCTACGATAAATTGTATATTAAATAAAGTTATCATTATTATTATTATTATTATATTTATTATTATTTATATTTACAAATATGTTTTTATCGATAAATAAGTAATTTGTA